TGCCCACGGCGCCCCGGGCCGCTCGGCCTCGGCCGGGGCGTGGGGGGAGAGAAGGCGGGATCTGGGGCTGGGGGTCCCGCCCCTGCTGCGGCGGGCCGCTCTGCGTCTCGGTGTCTGTGTTTATGGCTCTCCTGCAGCTCTGGGTCTCCCTCTGAGTGGGTGTCCCTCTGAGCCCCAGCCCCCGCGTTCGTCTCTCTGGGGGTCTCTCCGTTCTCACTGTCTCTGGCTATCTCTGCTGGCTCTTTGCGCCTCTCACCATTTCTTTATCTCTGGGTTGCTGCTCTGCCTCTTCCCCTGGGAGGCAATTCCATGAGGCCCCGGGGTCGCTAGGTCGTGGGTTGGAATCCCGATTCTCCTTCGCGGGGTGACCTTGACCGGGCACTTCCCCTCTCTGAACCTTTCCTCCCTTGTGGGAGTGACAGGCACTGGCATTGAGCAGGCGCCCAGGACTATTCCTCCGCCTCCCCTGTTCCACCTCTGTCTGCTCCGTGTGCCTCATCGGCCGCAGGTCTGAAGGTGGCTGGGGGTGGGGGGCACAGAGAAACACTGAATGTCTCTCCCCGCGGGGTCCCTGCACCCAGCTGGGCTCGCGCGGGGCACAGAGTGGGTGCTCGGGGAATCCTAGATGCACAGAAAGACACCTGGGGCTAGAGACACCGAGGTCGTGAGAGACAAAGGAAAAAAGAGACAGGAGCCCACTAGCGGGCCGGAGTCAGCGCGACCAAGGGCCGGGCCCCAGGTGGCGGCGGCGGGGGGCGGGCAGCTGGACTCCCACTTCTCCTCCACCTGCCCCTCCCACCCCGGGCAGAGGTGGGTGGGGAACAGGCTGGGCGAGTTGGGGGCATGACTCAGACAGGCTGGGGGCAGGGGGCGGAGGCGGGCCTCTTCCCAGTCCCCTCCCCTCTCTCGCTCTCCCCGCCCCGGGGAGGGGCCTCAGCGACACGGGGCTTTCCCGGATATCCCTGGGGGCGGGGCCCCGCTGGGGTTGAATCCGGGTCACTGAGTCCCAGGAGGCAAAGGGAGAGGCTTTGGGGACCTGGGGTGGGGGTGCGGGTGGCGGGGAATGGGGACTGCACCCCAGACCTGCCCAGAGGACACGCGGGGTCTCCCTGTTTCTCCCTCTGGTGGCACCTCCGTCTCTCCGTCCCGCGTCTGCCCCGCCCCCTGCTTGTCTCCCGACCCTGCCTCGGTGTCTCTAGCCGCGTTTCCCTTGGACCCTGAAAGTGGGTGTGGGGCCAGGGGCCCCGGTCCCCAGGAAGGGACTTTGGCCGGACTCGGGCCCCTCCCTGGTGGATCGTTAACCCAGGATGTGAGGAGCAGCTGTGGGCAGAGGCCTCACCCTTCCCTCTTCTCTCCTTTCTCTCTCTGGATCTCCCTCTCAGCGCCTGTCGTGGTGAAACCTCGGGGGCGCAGACCTGGGTTCAGATCTCACCTCCACCCCTTGCTCAATTTGTCCTTCTGGAAAATGGGGCCAATGTCAACCCTACCTGCCAGTGTTGTGGGGGCTACAGCGAGGCAAGAGGTGAAGGAATTAGGTTGGAAGGGCTGGGTACTGCTCCTCACCCACCCAGCTCTCATCTCTGGGGACCCTCAAACACAGGAGAGGAGTGGGATGTGGAGCACTACACCATTGTACAGAAAGGGAAGCTGAGGCTCAGAGCTCTGGATGGGGCTTAGGGTGGCGGCCCTAACCCACTCCCTGTCCCCTGGGGCAGGTGTAGCAGCACTGGAGAGGCCAGCAGATACGCTTGGCCCAGATGGGGTTTCGAAGGTCGGGAGAAAGGTGCTGATGGTTACAAGTCTCTGCGGATGAGGGATGAAAGGGTCTGAGGGAGGAGGAGGAAGACGGGTTTGAGAGAAACAGATGGTTTAAGGGAGCGGGAGAGGATCTGAGTGTGAGGAGTCAGCAAGGTCAGGAAATCTGATGAGGAGAAGCAGCTCTGAGCGAAGAGAGAGTTGGCAGAAAAAGAGGAGTCTGGGGGGGAAGGAGATTTGGAGAGTTCTGAAGGTGGAGGCCAGTTCTGAGGGAGGAGGAAGAGGTTTGAGCGAGAAGATCTGAAGGTCTGAGGGTGGAGGGCATGGTCGAAAGGAGGAGGAGCAGTTTGAGCAGGGCCTCCTTGAGGTGGGTGGGGGGCAGAGAGGCGAGAGGAGTGCTTGGGGAACCAGCGGGGACCAAGGGGAGGGAAGGGAAGGGAGGCCGGGAGTCAGCCCCGCCCTGCAGCTGTCTCTAATTTCCCAGAATCTTCTGCTGCTCAGGAAAGTCCCAGCTCCCACAGCAGCCTCCCTCCAGTATCGGGAACGGAGGATGCGGAACCAGGATGGCCACCCCCTTCTTCCCCCCTTGCTCCTTGTACCTTAGGTGGGGAGGACTAGGGTCTCCCCTCTCTGGGCTTTGAGCTCTGGAGCCCCTCCCCCCAAGCAGGGGCAGTCCCTGGATGAGTCTCAGAAACTTCCCAGAGAAGTCCCGGAAGTCCTGCTTGATGTCTAACCACTTTCCCTCAAGCAGGCTGCTCTTTGTACCTGTTCAGATCTTCTCCCTCCTGCTGCTTCTTCTCCCCTAACTCCTCTTAAGGGAAGAAGGGCCAAAATTTTACCTGCTCAAGATCCTGAGAGGAAAATGAAGTCCCAGCTGCAAGGCTGTCGGTTTGAGGCAGTTTTCCTGCTCTTGGGAACTCAATTTCCCTTTCTAAGAGGGGACGGTAGGTCAGACCCTAAGTTCCCATCTGGCTCAATCCCTGGGCCTTGTCCTGCTTTGCTTTAAACTGAGGCCTGGTTTGGCTGGTTAGTTTAGTTGGTTAGAGTATGGAGCACCAAGGTCAAGGGTTCGGATCTCTGTACTGGACAGCTGCCAAAACAACGACAACAACAAAAACACAACCATAAACAGGCCTGGGTGCAAGTCCTATCTCCTGCTCATTAGCTGTGTTATTTCCAGCAGTCACCTAACTTCATGGAGCCTCAGCTTGCTCATCTATAAAATGGACCAAATCAAGAAAATATGCTTCTTTTTGTCCTATAGGGCCTGATGTATAGAAAGTGCTCAATGCAATCTAGCTATTATTATTATTACAACAACAACAATATTATTATTACAACCACAACAATATTATTATTATCATTTTCATCAAAACCCATGTTTTCGATAGCACATAATTGAGGAAAACAGGACTCAACATGCTGGGCTTAGAGACATAGGTCCGAGCCCTAGCTCTGCCACGCGCTAGCTGCGTAATGTTGGACAGGTGACTTTCCTTCTTTGTGCCTTCATTGTGACTTTATTTTTTTATGGTTTTTTTTTTGTGTGTGGCTGGCCAGTACTGTTGTGACTTTAACAGTTGGGGATGTATCTGGTCGATCTTGCCAGTAGCATTAGAAAAAAAAATCAAATAGTTGGGATGTTAACAGCTCTTGTTTCACAGGACTGCTGAGCAGATTGAGGCCAGTGTATGGAATGAATGAATGGACGGATGAATGATGTCCATTTCTATCTCCACACTGTCTCCTTAACCCTTACCCTATCCATCAGGCCAGGGCTTCCTTCTCACCCTTTCCTATCCACAGATGGAACAAGATGGGCCGATTCACTCTGGGCTGAGCTCCCACTAAGAGTTGGCCCACTTAATACTCTCAATGCCTTGTGAGGAAAATTCAACTAAAATGTCCATTTTACAGAGGAGGAAACATGCACTGAGAGGTGAAGTCATTGCCCCCGGTCACACAGCGAGGAACTGGGGAAGTCAAGATTTAAGCCAGGCTTTGTGACATCAGCATCCCACTGGCCTGGGATAGTGGTCGTTAGTCCCAGAGACCACGGGCCTGCACTTCCAGCTCTAATTCTAGAACCCCACTCCTTGGGTGGGAATGGTTTAGATGGGGAAACTGAGGTTTGGAAAGGGAAAGTCATGTGCCCAGGGGCACCTGCGAAATTAGGAATGTCCACACTCTGCAAAGCTCCTCTGCTTCCTCTAGGTACAGGAAGGGTTCAGCAGGTGAAGAGGGGGTCATGTTGCAGCAGGAGGGAATAGTTATGCATAAGGGACCCTTGTGGAGGAACAATCACTAGATCCTCCAGGGAGGCTGAGGAAGAGCAAGCGAATTCTGCAGACAGAGGAAAACAGAGACTCTGAGCATGGATGGGGAGGGACTTGCCCAAGGTCACAGCAGCCTCCTGT